GCGGAGATGTTGGTCTACTCTCTCTCACCAACCCAGTCTCATGGCATTTCGTGTTCACCAACACGATTTTTAATCTATTGATTCGTGTTCAACAACACGATTTCCCCCTTTTTTTCGTGTTGCACAGCACGATTTTAAAAGCAATGTATTTCTACTGGTAATGTGTTTCGTGCCTGCAGCACGTCTTTTTCTCCGGTCGGGTCGAGGAAGACCGGAAGCTGTGTGGTTCATAAAAACATGTTCTTACTCAATATCAAGCCACAATTATTGCTTTTATTTTAAATCGTATAATTTCGGACTTTTGTTGCCGTCTGTGAGGAAAATAAATGGCTCTGGAGCCTCAGAATACTGAAATCTGTATTTTTAAATCTTTTTTCCTTCTAATTTGTTATTCTTTTCAAAATAACACACTGTTATTTACTCACCAATAACACACAATTATCCTTGCTTTTATTTATTGGTTTAATTCCATAATCTCGGGGTTTTTTGGCGTCCATCAGGAACTGAATTTCAAAATAAAAATAACCGGAAACAGATCCCCCCCAGACCCCCCCAATAAAGCAAAACTGCACGTTTCAGAGTGGCCTTTTATTGTGGCCAGCCTAAGGCACACCTGTGCAATAATCATGCTGTCTAATCAGCATCTTGATATGCCACACCTGTGAGGTGGGATGGATTATCTCGACAAAGGAGAAGTGCTCACTATCACAGATTTTTTCAGATTTGTGAACAATATTTGAGAGAAATGGTTATTTTGTGTATATAGAAAATGTTTTAGATCTTTGAATTCATCTCATGATAAATGGGAGCAAAAACAAAAGTGTTGCGTTTATATTTTTGTTCAGTGTATAAAAAGTGTAGTTTTTCCTTACCACTGTGCATGCTCATGTGGGTCAAAGTTGGGTCTCTGTAAAATGTAAGAGTACAGTCTTGACCTGCTCTATAGGAAAAGTTGCGATTTGGAGCTGCAAACAAATAATTGTAATTGAATTAATATCTGATCATTAATATGACGGACAGTGGTGATGATAAGCAGTACACTGTAACTGACATGGCCCATGTTGACTAGGGAAACCACATATTATCTGTTGTCTCTTGTGGGAGAGGGGAAGCGGATAATTGTATACATGTTTTACTTTATCCGCTGCTACTTTATGGTTTTAAAGTCCTTGAGGTTCATCAAGTTAAGGTACATACCATAATCGCAATCATCTGTGTTCGATCTGGCCCATGACCTTTGTTGCTCGCCATCCCTCTCTCTGTCTCTCCAATACATTTCCTGTTACTCAATACTGTATCATAATCTTTATTGTAATCTTCTCTCAAACTGTCCTTTTGTTTTTTAAGGATCAATCTCAAGATTGGAATTCCTAGAGGCCAAGATCGAAAGGCAAGATAAAATGATAAAAGATCTTGAGGGAGAGTGCAATTTCTTACGCGAGCAAGTCTTGGGGTTGAAGAATAAATCAAGTGAGTGACTCGAGAAGAAACGGCACATTTGTATTCAATTGTTATAGAAGGTGTGAAGCAGGCCCGGTTCCAGAACAAAATGACTCAGGGTGCATCTGAGATTAGAGAGGGTGCAGTTGTAAAGTGCTATTTTTATAGGTGGGGAGTGGACCTAACACCCTCTAGGGGGGTCCTCATCTCCTCTAGGAGGGTCCTCACCTCCTCTAGGGGGGTCCTCACCTCCTCTAGGAGGATCCTCACCTCCTCTAGGGGGGTCTGGGGGCATGCTCCCCTGGGAAGATCTTTTTTTAAATGTTGAAGTTAAAAGCATCAATCTGGTGCACTTTGAGAGCAAAATGAAGAGATCTATGGATCTATGTGCTCTTTGCTCGATTCATGTCCCATGTCCAGTCCCTTTTCACGTAGCCTATAAGAGCATGGCGCCAGTTGTTGTAGCCAGTTGTGGTGAAGGCATCTGACTTACTTGAACCGAAATGTCTACATGCATAGCAGAAGATGCCATCTTTTGTACATGAATATTCCAGCCAATCTCTGTTTTGAAACCATGAGCTGCAAAATGAGCGCCTTACCCCACTGTACAGGCGAGTTGGGTACTTTTTTAAATATACCTGGGCAGGCTCTCTTTTGCCGAGGTCCTTTGGCACTTGCTGGCCGCCGAGGGGTGGCGGCGTTTGGGGCAACGAAGACGGCTGCTCCGCCTCCATGGGCGAGGCGGGCAAAGCCGGCGAGTCGGGCGTTAGTGTCCACGACAGCGGCCGCGAGTAACGTAATGTCCCCATGATCTGAACTGTTATTACCTCTAGTAGATGCAGTGTTACTGCTGGCGATTAGGGCTGGTTGTTTTTAACCATTTTCTGAGTTCCATCACTGACTGCTGTGTAAGCACCTTGCAGATGATGAATGCGCAGCGGCTCAGGTAACGCACACCTGACATAATAACGTTACTTACCGTTTAAATTGACCAAATAAATGCAGCAGACAATGTTATTTAACCACGATTACAATTTATTTTATTTCAACTAAATTCTTCTTATTATTATTATTATTGTTATTATATATGTAATTTTTTTCACTTATCATTTTTTTTTTTTTCACTTTTCAAATGAGGGTGCAATGAACCCTTATGCACCCCCGTAGAACCGGGCCTGGTGTGATGTTATGTATCTCCTCATAACAAGCTGATCAGTGTGTCATCCGTTGAATCTAAGCTCAATCAAAAGTCCCTACTTTGGAAGAGGATGTCAGCATGTACGCAGATGACACTTCCCAAAGTCCTGCAGACCTCAGTGATTCTCAGACAGTGATGTTGTCATCCCAAAAAAGGAGTCCTGCATCTCCAAATGCGGCTGTGCCTGGGCGAGCTCATATGAGAGGTGAACAACTAAATGTCATGAAAAGTAATAATGATAAAGATCAGATAAGCAGATGTTGCCATCCCTAGAGTATGCTTTATAGTTATTTTTAAAGAGAAATGTCAGTTGTTTGGGCCATTCTTAGCGCCATCTGCTGGACAAAATGATTAGTCTGTGTACTCACCCCTCATGTATTTGTTGTATGTGTATTTGTTTGTTCATTTTTTCCAGTCAAAGGGCCAGCGGAGGTTGTCCGTATAAAAAGGTCCTGAAAACCTTCGGACGTGTTCGCACAATGTCTGAAGCCTTCAGGATAAATAATGTGGATCGGGGAACCATAAAAATGACTGCTCCAATTGCAGAGCTCAAGATTGTGGACCCAGACACATTCGAGACGCTCAAGTTTGATCCTGCAATAGACACCCTGCTTTAATTTGCCAAGAAGTGTGCAACAAATGTTACCGTCGATAAAAAGGCCCAAATAAAGGACATGAAAGCCAAAGGCAAGCTTCTTCCCTTGCTGATGAAGTATTAAAGGGCTGGTGTGATCGCTTTAGATAAGGTGTACTGGAAGAGTTGTATATTTAAATGTGAGTTTAGTACCCTCGAGAGCAAGTTCAGCTTTTATATTTACCTATCTATTTTTATTAAAAAAGTACAGGTGTGTTGTGAGTCTTGGAGACACTTTAAATGTTTTGGTATGTGTCGGAACCTCTCTTAAGTGGTTACATTTGAATAAAACAGATATTTAAACGTGTGCCTACTTTGTTCATGTACTGTTGAGGTTAATTTCAGTAGTTGTGTGCTATAATGTATTTACAAAGTGTGAAGAGGAGGCAGCTTTAGAATAGGGAACATGTTCTTAGATAGAAATACCTCATTTTGAGTTGTTTAGACACAATTAACACTTATAGTTTCATGTCTTGTTCCATAAGAATAGATTATATTTGTTAAGTGTTATTATGGGAGAATTACTATTCTTGTGCTACTACTGCCTTATTAGGCCCATATTGAGCAGAGCATATTAAGACCAAAACTCATGTACAACAACTTCCTTACTTGCAACAAATAAGCACTAATTAGAGGGTTATTGAGGAAAAACTCTCAACTAATGGCTTATTACTTGTAGAATATGGTCATGTAGAATAAGGCATTAATAAGTGTTTTATAATGACTAATAAAGAGCCAATATACTGCTAATATGCATGTTAATTAACAACTAGTTGATGGTTAATTTGTGTACCTTAATATAAAGTGTTACCTTACTTTCTTTTCTCATCTTAATACAAATTCATTCACTACTACTTACATCTGATATTTAACTCCTTCAGCCTATTTTCAGCTGCAGAACCCATTCAACTATTACATTATTCAGCTATTTCAGGACATCAAGGCTATACATGTTGTTGTTTATACCTTTTTTAAACCTTTTCTTTTAAATATTCAGCTTTTTCTGCATTTTTTTAGCTAAAAGCAGCTACCATTCAGCTAATAACTTATTCAGCTTTTTCTGCATGTTCAGCTAAATTCAGCCATAAATGTTCACAGTTTACAGCATTCGCACGCATTTTCTGCAGGAAATGCATTTTCTAGTTAGAACTATAGTTCTTCAAATCTTTATTCCCCTTATTTCAGCCAATACTTTGGCACTCCATAACTTCAGCTTACTTTCAGCTACGGAAAATATTAAACCATTCAGCCTGTTCAGGAATCGATGGGAAACCTTCAACTTTTTAAAAATATGTCATACTTTTTGAAATATTCAGCTTTTTAAACAATTTTTTTAACATGGGAGTCAATGGGAAGAGCCTTCAAATCCTCTTTTCCTACACCTTACGCCAAATGCTTCTCCTTCCACATACTTTCAGCTAGACACTTCATTCCAACTTTAAAATGATCACAAGACCTTCAGCTATTCAATTCATATTTAGATTTATTTATTTTTTAACATCAGTGTGGATGGAGCAGCTCGTTAAGTCTAGAGTGCTTTGATCTCAAAACAGAGTGGAGGAGTGCAGTTTGTTTTGGATTAGGTAAGCCAGCTAACTCAAACATGTTGAACTGGATTCGTAGTACAGGCCTCTGGCCTCATCTGTTGACTGTGTGTGTTTGAATGCACAGACAGTCAACAGATGGTTAGAAATCATACTGCAGAGAAAGCCATTTCCTCAACCAAAATACAATTAATAAACAAATACCATTTATTCACACTGGAATATGTCATCTGCATACAAAATTCGAATTGAACCAATTAACAACGGCAACATCATCTTCTGAAAACACATCAAAGTAATGCAAAGCTTTTCCAAACAACACCGAAGCACCCTTCAGAGAAGAAGTAACTCAGACGAGGCTTCTTGTCAGCGGCTGGCGTCCTCCAGCTCCGTATGCTGCTGTTACTGTGTTGGTGGACAAATTCCTCTGTGCATGAAGAAAGGTCTTCTCCTGATGTTCTTGTATTATTCTCAGTGCCATCCATGGTCCGTCCAGCTCCACGGCCTCTATCTTCTCTTGGTTCCTCCAAACCCTGTCAAACAAGACGTTAGTCAGCTGTTCCTACAGCAGCTCTCCACATGCTGGAAACACATTGGAAACATATTGCATTCACCAACGTTTGAAACACACACACATCAGGCATAGGGTTGTGTGATTCACAGCAAAACACCATGGTGACTTTCGCTCTGGCTTTGTTGTGATTGTTATTTGAGTTTTTGGACCCAGCACTGTATAACTCTTCACTGGGTTTGTGTATTCCGTGTAGGTCAACATCTACAGACTACAGTAGGCTCAGGGACCATGCTCTGTTGTATGTTGAGGGAAGCGTGCCTGCTGAGCAGAACAGTTAGTATTTCAGGCAGAAGTCACACTGTTGGTCAATGAGCAGCTGCTGTAAACCATGACTGTTCCTAAATACTATGCTAACAACTATCCAAGTAAAGCATGCAGAAAAGTATGATAAAAGTTACTGATCGTGTGATAGCTCCCAAAGCACAGTGAAACACCTGTTCTTGTAAATATGAGATCTACATCTTAAAGTGGACCTATCATGCTATATTTGAATAATATATTGTAGGGCCATACCTATATAAAACATGTCTGTGAAGTTTTGTTTTCAAAATACCAAACAGACCATGCCTCGTTTCGCTCTATTTGCTCTTTTCCAGCCCTGTTTTTGCAGGGGCTGATTCTGTGACGTAGCTTTAATGCAAATGAGCTGCAGCTGACCACGCCCCCCTGCAGGAGAGGGAGATCAGCTGCTGGGCTCTCAGAAGAGGGGGAGGAAAAGAGATCTCCGTCCTCCGTGTTTTATTATTATATGATTATATAGAGTCGTTATTCATTTGTTTTAAAGCTCAATAAATAACAAAGAAGACCTTTGACCGGCACTTTTCTAATTTTGTCTGGAAGATTTAAACTTTAACGGACATGTTGACCGGCGAAAAAAAAATCTAACTGAAACTCTGCCGCACGGTCCCCTCGTCCCTTTGGAAGAGACAGAGAGGTGGGTGTTTGTCATCTGCTGGTGGACTACCGGAGAGAATTACAGCAGGAGCAAACGCTTGCCAAAACCATGGCAACCATGCGCAGGAAGTCTTCTTCGCTGCTTTTGTGGCAGGGTTACAGCGCCACTTACAGACCTGGCATATGTACTACAGCGTCTCCAGCGCTTTCGAGCGGTCTCTCATTCCCCTGATAGGTGGAGAGTTGGCCATATAGGCGGAGCACCTTGTTTCTGAACAATTCAAATCTGGATCAGTCTGTATCAGATCCGTTGCAGCCCCGTTTTTAGAGATTTGGGTATGGAGGAAAAGAGAGAGGGTTGTGTTTTCTGACACTTGGTGAGTTCCCTGACACCGGGGACACATATTCATGTATAAAAGACGTACAAAAGTGCATTTTGCATGATAGGTCCCCTTTAAGTTACGACATTCAGCAATAATGATTCCAAGATAAGCCCTACATTGTTTCCTTTTAAGGATTACATTTGCTTCATGCTAACATTAGTGTTAAACTGTGTGCAAAGCTAACTTCAGGTTCTCACATTGTTTGGTTCATGGATGATATACCAGTTCATTGTTAACCTTACCTCTTGTTGTGTTACATGCTTTTCTTTTAATATAAAAAAAACAACAACCATCCTGTAACAGCCTTCACAGTTTTAAGTTAAAAAAAAGTGACGCTGACTTTAATCAGCAATAAGTGAGGTTATATCTCTCACAGGCAGAGCCCTCTACTGGACTGTGTGTGTGTGTGTGTGTTTATTTACCTGAAGCAGTGCGTGTCCCAGAGGAAGAGGTGGAGGAGCCTCCAGCAGCAGGACGTCTGTCAGTGTACGATGAGTAGGAGTTGCTGTGGGGCTGACTTCTGAAACACAAACACCCAGAAGGCCCTGAGAGGAGAGGAACAAATCCTCCACTTCCAATTCAGGTCATGCATTCTGTATTTTCAGTCATGTTCCTCTCTCCTCATCTCTGTACTGACCTCTGACTGCCAAACATATATCCCAGCAGCCCTCCTGCTCCCATCCCAGTCCAGAAGCCTCCACCTGTTGTGGGGCGAGCCTGGCCTCCTGGGAACTGTTGTCTGCGAGTGTAGTCGCTGTGGAAACCGTAGCCAGGGTCGGCACCAGCATAGCCTGAAAACAAAACAGGAACAGAGTGAAGGTTTCAGCGGGTGGAATGTGATCGTGCTTCAGACTGCAGCGTGTATTAGGGGTTTCACAACTACCTATATTTACTAGTCGACAAGTTTTTCAAAATAGTAGTCGACTAGTTGTTACGTCATAATAAAGACACACAAAGAGAGGTGTAAAACTGTATTTTGTATTGCAATGCATACAGTTACGTTAAACACTGTAACAAAGCAGCATTTTAATTTGGGTTACATGTTGTGACTCATCATCTGATTAAATTAAAAACAGTAACTGGACTCACCAAATCTACTGCAAAAACTCTGTTAAGAACATAAATCAACGTAAATCCAGTGCGCATTGCGCAACACTTTACTCGCTGTCACTGTCCTCCTCGATAACGATGTCCACCCTTCCAGGTGTCTTGGTTTGCGTTGAGGAAGACCAAAGCATCAACATGTGAGGGAAGGAGGCTTGACCGCTGTCGGGTGACAGTGTTGCCTGCCAGGGAAAACATCCGTTCACTTGGGGTGCTGGTGGCTAGCCAGGTAGCTCCTGGAAAGCTTGGCTAACGGGGGAAGCGGTCTGCGTTGTGTGCCCACCACTCCAGAGGGTTATCCATGATTGTGGGGTATGGGGTGTCTGCTCGCAGTAATCCCGTAGCTCATCCGCGCCACTGTTGACCCGTGTTTTCTTGTTGCTCTCAAAATGAGGTCCAAACAGCTGTTCAAAAGGGGGTGTTAGTGGAACACGCTCGTGAACTTTTAGTGCCGGAGCTAAAACTGAAACTGTAGAGCGCATAATTGCGGCGCATCTGCGCATAAGATGAGGACCCCTGAATGTCAGACGTGTTTTGCTGGAGCATTTTGCAGCACCTCAGCGCCAATGCCGGCATCCTCATCCTCATCTCCCACGTTTGTCTCCATTTTGTTCACGACTAGTTGACTAGGGCCTACAGCGCCAACTAGTGGTAGAGGTAGTCGACTAGTTGGTGAAACCCCTAGCGTGTATCTAGCACAGCGTTTCTTTGAGGAAGGGCTTTCCAGGGAGAAAGTGCAGAGCAACCAGCCCACCTATTGTCACTCTACCCACACTTTGACATATTACCTGAGCTGCCTGTGAAGTCAGGTTTGAATCCTGGGGGCGGGGGTCCTGTGCTGGAGCTGTGGTGATCATCTCTTGGGTAACCAGCCTGTCCTCCAGCCTGTCCTCCGTCCTGCCCCCCCTGGGCCGTGTTCCCACTGAGGAAAAGCTTGTAGACTCCGAAGGCTAAGAGCAGAAGCACAGCAACCCCCAGCAGGCCAGCTGAGTCCTCCCCGCCTGAGGGGGACGCACTCTGCTGGCTCTGCTGTTGACCCTGATGCTTGTTTCCAGAGAAACCGCTGAAGAAACTGGAGGCAAAGCCCCCCAGACCTGAGAAAGACAGAACAGATGTTTAAGAATATTTAGTTATTGTGTGAAGATGAAGCCTCATGAACATCAAGTATCCATCCTCCTACCTCCTTTAGATCCACCATGCGTGCCCCCGCTGCCCTGGGCTGTCCTCCGACCCCCTTCAGTCAGCTCCAGAGTGTACTCCAGCCCACAGGAGCCCCTCAGGATGAGGGCGTCAGCAGGTTGGCTGTAGCCCTCACAGCTCACCTCAATGCGACCAAATCGGTAGGCATTGTCCATATCAGTCTTACACTCCCACTGTGAGGCAAGGCAAGTTTATTTATATAGCACATTTCGACACAAGGCAATTCAAAGTGCTTTACAAAAATGAAAGATATTAAGAAACATATTATGAAATTACATTTAAAAACACTCATTTAAAAGCAAAGATACATGAATTCAAGTGACAGTGCAGTGTGAGATACACACATCTGAAATGTTTAGGTCTGACTCTCAATCATTGCTCACTTTTTAGCAGAAATGGTTTTCTATCACCTCCCTTTCTTGTTTAACTTGTACTTTAGTTATTTCAAGTGTTTCATGCTAAACGAACCCCCTTTGGAACATTATAATCTGACCCCATGGTACCTTTCAGTTTTTGCCGAAACTATTCCTCTTTTATTTTGTTTTCTTTAAATGCACATAGTTAAGTTTACCTTGTCTTTCTAGGCCAACTTGTGGCCCCACACGCAAAGTTATATGATGAGGCCCTCTGTGTCGCGAGCGTCGATGGGGGGGTGCTAGTGGAGCCTCGCAGCGGCAAAACTGTGGCGCCATTAGACTGTAGGTGCGCCGCATTTGCGCTTCAGATGAGGCTCCCTCCGTGAGGTGAGGCCCCATGCAGTCTGCGTGATCGGCCTGTAGGGAGGGGCGGCCCTGTTTCTAGGACTTTTTTGGTATCCTCCGTGAACCAGGGTCATGACACCAAAACGTTTTCGCCAAAACTATTCCTCTCAGTACAGGTGAGGGAAAACATATTTTTCTTTTCTTTTTTCAAAATGCATGAACTCAATTATCAGAAGATGAGTGATTTACTCAGTCAGTCACACCTCCTAGAATAAAAGTGTGAAGTAGCATTTACTTGAACAAACTGGTTCCCCTGCGCAGACACGTGTTGTTTGTTGAGCTACAGCCTGACACTGAATAATTGAGAGTTAAGAAAGTCCCAATATGTCAGTCATTTTTTTCTTTCACACAAACATTATGCTCACCTGTACATCCACCCCATCCCAGCCTTTGTTCTGACACTGGACCACATCTGGGCTGAAGGCCTGGCACCCCGCAGAACCCCCCACACACTGCAGCTGCAGCACGGGGCTGGAGCGCCTCGCCGTGGTGTAGCGGCCCCGGTACAGTGTCAGCGCCTGGACGTCCCGCAGCAGCACGCTGCCTGCAGCGGGCACAGGAGAATAAACCATATATATATATATATATATATATATATATATATATATACACACACATATGCCTATCTGTACATGACACCCAGTAAGTCAAAGAAAAGGTGCTACAGTATGAACTTCTATATTAATACAACAGAAGGCAAAGGTATGCTCCCTTGCTGCAGGAAGTCATCCTCAGTATCATCACAGGTGTGTGTGTGTGTGTGTGTGTGTGTGTGTGTGTGTGTGTGTGTGTGTGTCAGAATACAGACCACTGGGCTTACAGAGGGAAGTTATTTAGATCCTTTACTTGAAAAAAAAGTACAAATACTATGATCTTAACATACTCCAATACAAGTAAAAGTCCTGATTTCTAAATTGTATTGTAGTAAAGTATAAAAGTATTTGCACCAAAATATACTTAAAGTACCAAACGTAAAACTATTCATTCTGCACAATGAGCCATTTCAGAATAATAAAAGGACAGAAATAGTATCAGCTAAATGTACTTCAAGTACCAAAAGTAAAATACTCATTATGCAGAATGGAAGTTTTTTCACAGTATTATATCATTATGGTTATTATATTATTCTGTTTTAATACAACAAGAGATTTTAGAATGGTAGTTTTCTCTGTGCGGACCAAATTTAGATACTTGAAAATACTGCAGCATATCATGTGTTTTACATTTACAAAGAAAATCTCAGTGTTAAATAAATGTAGTGGATCAACAAGTACCTCTCAACTGTAGTGGAGTAGAAGTATTAAAGTAGCTTTAAACGGAAATACTCAAATAAAGTACAAATATCTAAAAAAACTACAATACTTTAGTAAATGTACTCCGTTACTTTCCACCACTGGATTTGTTTGTAGATATTGGAGGGTTAAACATAATGTTAATAGTATTGGTAATATTTCTAATCCATACATGCACTGTGACGCACTATTAAATGAATTTAAATTAACATTAGTGTCACATCACTGACACATATTAATATAAATAAGTCTAAAAACGTCCAATGGGCCATGATCTGGGTTTACTTCGTCCCGGTTTAATGGATGTATGTTTTATTAGTTTTCTACTTTCAGGAAGTGGGGAACTGTTTGCGGAAGTAGCTGTTCTGTCTTGTTTGCCGCTGATGATTATTTGTGCCCGTAGTAACATTACTTTGCTACACTACCCTAACTAACAGGAATGCTGCGCATTACTTTTTGAATGATTAATTCATTAAAATGTTGATGAAACAGAGGAAGGAAGCAGTACCCACCGTCCTCCCAGCTCGAGATGTGTCCCACCAGCAGGCAGTGCAGCAGCCCGGTGACACAGGCCTTCATCCCGCGGGCTGTCCGGACCATGGAGCTGTAGAAGAACCGGCCTGACTCTGATTAAACTCACTGAGCTGCACTACGAGTAACGATCAGCTAACTAGTGCTGTTACGTATTGCGTCGAGGCTTCGGAGCGTGTGTCGAGTAATCCCCGAAGCTTTTTGTGAAGCTTGTATCGTTTTGGGCCAGTGACGTCACCGATGACAAACGAAGCCTCGCTCCCCCTCAATACCACGTGACTGCTTCAGAATGTGCTTTAGATCGGTTGACAGCTAACGACCGCAACTAACCATGGACCTGAGAGCTCAACTTCCGTGTTACGTCATCTGTTGTTGTTTTCGCAACCAATGGGGGACTTGCACGACTGCAGCAGATCATTGCGTCATTCAATAACAGTATGATGTAAATGTGGGAAATAGAATAATAATTCAAAAGTATTCTATTTTAAACGATGGAGCCTTCTGCACTGCGTGATATTACATGAAGTCGAATGATTTGGGTTAGAGAGGACTTTCTACATTAAGCACGACCCCACTCCGCACCAAGGTGCAGTAACGTTTCCTGAAATGACAATAACAGAGATCAGTGGCAGTAGTAAAAATCTGATCTTTTATTTGTTCAATCACCCATTTTTCAGCCCACATTATTACATTTCTGCTATAAGTTAGATATTTACATCATTCAAGGCCCTTCACAAAATGCAATTATGATTGATCTTTACCCAATATATACAAGCTGTTAATAAACTTTTCAATCAATACAAAGAAATGTATTTACATTGTACAAAACATTGCATACATCATCAGCCATTCACCAAACCCTCTTTACCTTGCAAAACAAACCAAAACCCCCACATTATCTTCAACAAGATAATGAACCCCCACCCCATTAAGTGTAATCAATGTATCACTTCTATCATTTCCAACCCAAACCACACATTGTTCCTTTCATTATCAGACAGACAGTTACTAGGTGAAAGACAGCTTGTCAGCAACTGATCTTCTCATCAGGACTGTCAGTAAGGCAGGTCACTGTTCTCAGATGTGTTCTCCTTAGGTTCCTCTTAAGCCTCGCAGTGTCAGTGGACGGTGATGGAAACCAAAATAAGTTATATGCAACCAATACAATTAAGTTTCAGGCATGGCACACTAACAATGGACCTTGAGATGCTTTAGGGAAACAAACACTGTATAGTTTGCTTTATATTCAACTTGTTAATTGAATCCTGCTTATTCGTTCATCAAATGAAGCCGGTTGGAGTACTGTATTAGTTGCAAGCTAGAATGGCCCTTGGAGTGCAAATGTGAAGAACAAGCAAAACGTGTCTTCCATCTCTGGGTTCGGGTTAGGGTTAACCTTCCCTGGAGGAAGGTTGCTGTATTTTCACTGACATGGTGAAATTGCCTATGGGCATTTTTGAAAGAGATGGCTGAACAGGGCCAAGCAGAAGAATAGTTACAGTCCTTACATGTTGATTGTTTAAATACACAAAACAAGCCGAAACGTAAACATTCATGACACCACCCAGCACCACCTGCTGCACTGATGAATCCTCCACCAATAAAAAAGACTCTTTGGTAGGTGAGCTAACAGTTGATTGGAAGGTCTAATAAGAGCATGACTGTTCAATAGTCAGGGTAGATGTTGATTTCTTGAATCAATGTAGTGGTTTAGAAAAGACCTGAGAGCCAAAGACCAAAAGAACAGAAAGAACGAGTGAAAAACCAACAGTATGAAGGACAGAGAGACAGAGCAGGTTTCCAGTTGTACTTCTGCCACCTGGATTGTCTGTGTTATGCATGAGCTTATGGAGCAACAGTTCCAACCAACCGTTTTGGGTTGAAGCTGTTAAAAGTCAAAACTCAGTATCTTTCATTGAGAAGCACTGACACCGACTGGCTCAAATCAAAAACATGATTTCTTCAAAGGACAGTATCTGCTGGCTTTATCTGTAAACGATGAGTACGGATGTGTTTCTCAGTGGTTCTCCTTGTGCCAGTAGTGTTCAGACAGCCACTATGTTATTCATCTCCCATTTCTGAGTGGTTTTACTGTTGTCACAGTCTGATATGAAGACTTTGTGGAGCAGGTCGGAGCGGTCCAGACATTTCCCTGTGAGAAAAAAGATGAAGGTTAAGCTTAGTGTTTGATGGGATTCAGAAGCCACCCTCCCATATGAATCCCTGAAATGAAACCCAATCGGACGAGGGTTTGCACTCCAATATTGATCTGATTAGTGATGCTACACTTGACAACATTTGAGTTAATCTAATCCAAGGCAATGTGACAGTGATGTTGTTTCTGAGGTGGTGGCTCAGAGGCTTGTTTTTAATACTTCACCTGCGATGCTTTGTCCTTCAACAGGTGAAAGGTTCAAACAGATCCAAACCACGATGGTCACTGATAACTAAACCATTTTAAGACTCTTTTACCATTGCCAGGTAACACGCCACATAGCATCGCACTGAGAAGGGATCATAATGAGCAACTCAGGAGCTGCGTTTCCATCATAGCCAATCAGAGATAAAGCGGATGAATGCCTGTGAAAGATTTGTTGAATAGACTAGAACATTAATGATGGAAGTATATGGTGGCCATGTCAATGCTCTTTCACAAGTCCTAATACACATTACATTTAAATAAATGAATGCTTTTGTTCCTGATTTATGACTAGAACAACTTGACACATTGTTGTGAGCTGCACCTGAAATGAACCTGCAGGTTTCAATTGGAGCTGACAAAAATGGTGATGGACCAAGACAAAAGCATCAAAAGCGCTGTGCACTCAATCTCCTTTGAATTGGTGAGGATGATTTATAGTGATGAAAATGAATTGCTGTGTGGAAAATGTATGAGAACTTGAAGATTTGTACCTGTTGGCACATGAGTGAACCGATGGAGATCCTGGAAAGAGAGAGAGGGTGAGTCCTATATTCAACAATTTCGACTTTGTGTGCGTGTGTATTTGTATATGTATGTATGTATGTATGTATGTGTGCATGTGTGTATGTATGAGTGTGTGTGTGTGTGTGTGTGTGTGTGTGTGTGTGTGTGTATGTATGAGTGTGTGTGTGTGTGTGTGTGTGTGTGTGTTTCTCACCTTGAAATACTTCCACTCAGTGTGCTGCTTCTGATCACAGTGTGTGATGATGACAGCTGAGTTATCACTTCCTGTCGTTAGGCATTGGTCATACTGCATCAGCTGGTTGGCTTCGTTGACACGGAACAACTACACAAACACACAGTGAAAGACACAGTAAATGTGTTCCGTTGATCAATGAAAATCAACTATCCTTGTATCCTTTACTGAGGGACAAGGATTCCAGTCGTCTCAACGATACAACATGTTATTCCATGCTCTGCAAACAAGCTATTCATAACAAACCAAATCAAGACCAACTCCAACTGAACAGAGCTACAGGAGACACAGCACATGAGGCAGAGTGTGTGTGTGTGTGTACCTGGTTTCCACCCATTCTGTGGCATGGCCCTATTTCCACATTGCCTCCATTGGTGTGTCCCATACTGTCAATACAGTAACTCGTCTCATAGCCTCGAATCTAGGTACACATGACACAAGGTGATACACATGTGCCATATGACATCCAAGAAAGAAGTGGAAACAGAACAAGCTGCTGGAGTGGGTGCATGTGTGTGGGTGCCTACCTCTCCCCATTCTACATTTTTAGGAGGCAGAGGGTAGTGCATTGGAATGTCATATGCTATTTCCTCCATGAACCACTTGAAGCTCTTGCATCGATGATCCTCCCTGTTCAGCCAACAAAACAGCAAACAATTCATTCACAACCAAAACGTAATGCTTCACTTAGAGATTACATGACATCACATTTAGCTGAGGCTTTTATCCAAAGCGACTTACAATAAGTGCATTCAACCAACAAGATACAAACTTGAAGAAAACAGAATCATATAAGTACATCAGGTTTCATAGAGCCAAACATCTCAAGTGCTACGAGATAATAATATCTTCATTTCATAGCCATTTCTAAAAATAAAGGAAGTTATACATGCATGATGCATTCAGGTCCCTTCCAATGCTTTCACTCTAAAGCATGTCTAGAACTAAATGAAAGGCTTAAGACAGCTAATGAAATGTATAATGCCTGAACTATGCTAAAACTATCAACGCCTGTGTATGTGAACACACATTTGATCTGATAAGGTGCCTATATATTGTGCAATAAAACAACGTTTGGGACATTCTATGTGACGGTTGGGTCTAAAGACTCTATTGCATCAACTTCAGGGTTTGTGCAATAACTGTTTATGAAAACATCAAAGTGTCATCTATCTGGTCCACTCTGAAAAGGAAGATCTTGAGTTGGCTAGGTTCTCTGAACATCTTCCTGCCTCTCAGCTCAGATCCATTATCCAGTAGATTTGACCTATCCAATGTTATGTGTGCTAGGTTGACTACATTTTTGTTTGTCTTTGTCCATTTTGACTCTGATGAAGAAACGGTGGTGTTGAAGCGTTCGTCTGTATGCACACTGAAAGGCTCCTGCTCCAGTCTCCTCTTCTCCTTGGGAAGTTTGCTCTTTATCGACCGTGGGTAGACTTTTCTTTCATTATGATCTCTAGAATATTAACATTTGACTGGCCATTAATCAGATAGTGTACAGGGGCTTTGAGCTGGGAGAATGGGCATTTTTAAGAGTTAATGGAAAGTGTGATAAAGTCAGAAACAGACAACATCTATCAGACATCAATACAAAGTATGCATATTTTGTTGTGTGTATGTTCTACCTGAAGCGTTTCAGCTCACTGATGTCTCCGTAGGCTAGAGTGAGGGTTTCAGGACGGCTGGCGTAGAAGTAGTCCTTATATTCATCCCACCACACCTCCACCACACGAACATAGTTCTGTACACATGGTGTGAAAAATAGTTTTACATTGTGAGCTTTAGTGTAGGTGCCATAATGCTACTTAGCCCAAGTTCATTATAATATTATTATTATTTATTTGTCGAGTACTTCTGGTAATTGTCACATGGGTGTGGTTTGTGTTTATAAGTCACCTGTTTCATGTCGAGTGGGATGACAGAGGGTGAGCTTGTGCAGTCATTTTTTCTGTTGACCGTTTTGTCCATAGTTACTATGTTTTGATTTGGTTTATTAAATATCCTACAACTATCTTGCTTCAGTATGGACTTTCTCTTCGAAAACGCGTCACAGTTTATAGCCAAGCTTAGCCTCTCAGCGACTCAAACTGAACTGGAAATTGAGCCGCCACATTTAGTATAATGCTTATTTATTTGCTGTGCCAAGTAATTCTATTTGATAGCTCTAATTAAACCTTATTTTATACAGCAAGGGAACAGCCGACATGCAGGATCTAAAACTGCACACCTTGGTCCAGATGAATAAACCCTGCATATGCAAAAAGCTAAATGCATGCATTTGTCACAAAAAACTGCAAGAAAATGCCATAATAATAGTTTATTTGGGTTGATATCCAGTTACATCCGTTGTGTTATTTTACTGCAGTCTACAAACATATTTAAAATATGTAGTTATCTAATCATCACTCAATGTTCTTTGTAAATCTGTGGAGTGAAGAGGCCCGAGCCTAGACGCCAAACTCAAACTATATGCTGCTTATAATAAACATATTAAGAACACGTGAGTTGTCTGACTGAAATAAATATAATGTTGATTAGGTACATTTGTGATACATTTGATCATTTAGTTTACCATGTATGATCTTTACCATTTATCCAGTACTGTGAATCTGTCTGGAAAGATACAAGCGCTGTAAACTCATTTACCAATAACCCTATTGATATGTATTGATTGACAGATTGAAGGACAAGTGGTGCCGGTACAGGTAGTGGTCATATGCAAACAGGTAATTAAAGTGCGAGCCTGCATTCATTTTGTGCCCAACTGTGGTAGTTAAGATGAAGCGTGACGCTTACACAGATTTATGAATAAAAAAAAGACAAGTGCATATCTCTTTCTCTGTGTGTACTGAGTTTCAAAGCGTGAGCCACTCTACCTTCAGAGTAGGTGAGGATCCGACATGTGCAGGGGGAGGGTTGCCTTGCCAACCCGGAAGTCTGTAGATATGGCCGACACGAGAGCAGGGTACAAACAGCAGCTTGCCACCACACTGCCAGATCTACAAAAAAAAGACAATATAATTTTAAAAAAAACATCCCCATTAAACCCTGTGTATGCATGTGTATGTATGCGTGTGTGTATGTGTGGGTGTGTATGTATCTTGTATCAGTGTTGTAGTCAAGTCACCAATTCACGAGTCCAAGTCACTCTCGAGTCACCACTCTTCGAGTCCGAGTCCAAGTCCGAGTCACCCAAGGAGTGTCCGAGTCGAGTCCGAGTCATCATTACCTGTGTTCGAGTCCGAGTCCAAGTCACCTAAGAAGAGTCCGAGTCCAAGTCTGAGTCACAAGTCTTCATGTATTAACCTTCGTGGATATATGTGTTGAAATGTAGCTGCTCCTCTACATTGCTTTTATCCTGTCATGTTATACTAATCTGTCTATTGAACTGCTGTGAAGGGAGTTTGGCTACAATTCTTGTAATAGGCGCTATACAAATATAAAGCTTATTACTAATATACATATTATTATATATATGTAAATAAACTATATTTAAAATGAGTTACCTTTTAGAGAAGTGATTATATTTGTATGCCAATATTTTCCTATGGTAAAGTTTTAGTTTTGCACTTTTATTTTGATAGTAATAAGATCGGGACTCTTATTTTGAAGGAACTTTTGCCAGTTAAATCAGTTTACTAATAAAGATTTAGCCCCAGAAAGCACATGGCTACTTAGCATGCAAAATGACGTCATTCTGCATGTTAAGTAGCCATGTGCTTTCATGTTATCGGCTGAATCTGTATTTATTGATTAGATCACGTTACTCTGATGATAGTGTTCAAGACAGCATATGTCTGAACTCGATCCTTAGAGTAATGTGTTACGGAGCCTTCTCTTCAATCTTGTTTCCACATAACAAGCATTTTGCGCTGCTCTTTTCCAATGTGGAAGCAGAATGTGTGAAAGCATACAGCATGATGCGGGGTGTGTCCTAGACATGTTTAGACTGGAACAGCGGGGGCCAGTACGTGAACTCGCCTCACAGGTGCACAAGCCAGGATAGAGGACATCAGACTCCAGAGAAAACTTGCTCGAGTCCGAGTCCAAGTCGGAGTGTCAATGTACAAGTCGAGTCATCATGGGGGGGGAAATTCACGAGTCTATGTATGTATGTGTGTATGTATGTGTGTATGTATGTATGTGTGTATGTATGTATGTGTGTATGTATGTGTGTATGTGTGTATGTATGTATGTGTGTATGTATGTGTGTATGTGTGTATGTATGTGTGTATGTATGTGTGTGTGTATAGTCATTTATCCGCGCTCTGTGTGTATACACGGCTCTATCAATATCTACCTTGTATGATATTTCAAAATTCTCTCCTCCCCATATCTGAAGCCCTGGGTCATACAGACCCAGCTCAAAGAAGAAGTCTCTCTCTATAGCAAAGAGCCCCCCCGCCATGGCTGGAGACCTGCAGGTTCAAAACAGACACACATCCAGAAACAGACAAATAGACATGCTCAAACTGTGCATCTTTCACACTGAACATCAAATAATGAAACCTATTTCTTTATTCTATATCACACTTTAAAATGCTGAATTATCTCTTAACATTGGCATCTACATTGCCTTTAAATAAAGGTCAGCCATTATAATCCAAGTTTTTATCAAATTCAGAGAAAAATCTCCTCACGATCAGCTAGCTGTGTGTTGTGTGCAGAAACAGAATGTGCTGTTCATATACAGCCCTGTACAGTACATGTGAATACAACAAATACAAAACTGTTCCCATGAGAACGGGCGAGAGGAAGGAGCACTGACGGGAGACGGTTTGGGTGCAAAATAATTGCATACTCCACCTTCAAAGCCCAGACTGTCAGTTACTGTATTAATAATAACATCAACATCGAACATAAGATCAGACTGACAAAGAAACAAAGTCTAAGCACAATAAGATATGAGTAGAAGGAAAGTGGAGAGAAAAGACTGACAATGAGACAAGATGAATGAAACATTGGAGGAAAGTGGGGGTGATGGTGCCCCCGTCCGAACCCGATCCACACCAGAAGTTCCCGTGAAGACCAAACAAAATGACAAACTCATCCTGACTCTGCTTCTAAATTCAGGTTTAACAATCTCACTTAAGGCAGGGCTGATGGTGTCATATCCCGTTAAAGTCCCTGTAGTTCAAGTAGACAAAAAGAAAAAAGGTAGATTCACTGACTTGGGCCTAAAAAACGGGAAAATGATTTGCTAAACAGGACCAATGGAAACACATTGGACGAAGAGAAGAAGACGTACGAGAGTCAGTCCCTGTCTGGAGGAAACAAACAGGGCCCACAGTTCACTCCCAATATTAGAAAGATTGAGGCCCACACGCAGACAAGAGACAGGACAGGAGTGAGCTACTCCCCATCAGAGGAGTTGCACACTTTGGGTTTAGTTGGTTAGTTGTAATATGCAGTATGGGTGAACTAAATAATGTGATGTATAAAAGTGTTACATATTTTAAAGATCTGAAGAGTTTGTGTTAAAGGTGGGGTAGGTAAGTTTGAGAAACCGACTCGAGATACACTTTGTGTTATATTCCATGGAATGCTCTTAACATCCCGATAGCAATGAATATCTGAAGTGCTTTGACAAAAAATCCATACAAAATGTATTTCATCTGTGGAAGCCGTGGTACTGTAAAAAGTACATCCAATCCGTTTAGCCGGCCAAACGGATTGGATTGCCGCCCTGTCTGTCAGCCTTCCATCTCGTGCACGCACAAATGTATCTCGTGCCGTCATTGGGCGTGCCCTCATTAGGCGTGCCCTCATTGGGCGTGCATTGCAGCAGTACTTCAATCATGTGCACGTTCATGTGTGTTGGAGGAGGTGCTCTGTAGTCTGAAGGAAGGGGCGGATTATTTTCGGCTGTGTACTTTCAAATGTTAGTGCACTCGAGCCGGTTTATGAAACTTACCTACCCCACCTTTAACTATTAACTGATGGCACCTTTCCACCCTGCATAAATATTTCTGTTTTTCAGGTTCATTTTTGAGTTGGTTTCTGTGTTTTACTGCTCTTGTTCAAATACAATAAACTGAAGATTATTTGTCCAGATGAGTCAGGAGTGGTTGGTTTTCTGTACCTATATGGCTCAGTCCGAGTTTTTCTCAGTTTTTTTTCTTTGTCTCCCAGAGGAACTCTCTTCCAGAGCATGCTCCAATCCCAGGCTCCCCTAGCGAAGCCGTCCTCGTCTCCTCCACCCTGGGGCTCCATGGTGTAACTCTGGCCGTTGATAGAGTCGATCAGAGGCACCGTAGACACCGTTCTGACAGAGTGGGGATGGGGCCATGCATTCAAGACACATGGGGGGAAGAGGTGTAGGGATGGTGTACATGAAGGAAAGAAAAACAGGCAAAGACGCACAGAAGTGCCGGTGGGGTTTCAGAGACCAAGACAGCGTGAGACACAGTGGAGGAGAGGACAGGTGGGACAGAGGGATGGGAGATGGAGACACAAACAGAGAGGGATGAGGGTTAGCATGCTGTGTGTACCGGTAGGGCTGCGTGGTGTGTTTTCTCTTGTCCTTCTCCCTCTGGCTAAGAGGAACTCTCTTCCAGAGCAGGCTCCAATCCCAGGCTCCTCTAGCCAGGCCGTCCTCATCTCCACCCTGCTGTGGCTCCATAGTGTACTCATTACCATCTATATAGTCTATCAGTGGTACTGTGCATACTGTCCTGCACGCACACACGCACGCACGCACGCACACACACACACACATACATACACACACACACACACAGTATAGTAAGCGGAAGTCAACACTTGCTGTGATTAGTGCTGTGTTGTGCAGTGGCTCTGCATAATGATATATGCTCATGATAGATACACAATCAAGAACAAATATTATTTAAAGTATCTGATATTAATCCACAATACCCAGTGTCTGTATTAGGCTGGGATGATGCTTTCAGAGTCCAGTTCTACAGCTGAGAGTGTTGTCTGTGTCATTACAAAACCTGACAGCACAGTGTTTCTGTTCTGCATGCAGCAGCAGCGCTTCAGGCTGGACTCACACATGGGGAAACTTCATGTCCAAGACAAATGCATGAATTCAGGTGCACATCATAGATCACAGAAACTCCCCTAAGATGAGCAGGATGCATATACAGTACACACAACCTGCAGAACTGGTTTCAGCAGATACAATGCTCAACGCTGTAGTGCTGATATTAAAAAGTGAAGCCATGCTTTGTAGCCCTTCTTATGCATAACTATACTCTGCATGAAACAGAATACTGCAGCATCAGCTGAGAGCAGAAGCTATTTAATACATACATAAGAGTATACACAATCTCAAAAACATCTGTGAAATAATAGCAATCCATAAATCTCTATCACTTGGTCAGGACTGAAAATGTATAATGATGACTTTGAATGTGCTGCAGGACAACCCTTTAGATAGGAATAAAGGAAAGAGCACAAACGTGGACTTCTAGCCCACATCCTAATAATACGCCTTGCTAGAAGGCCAATTGCCCTCCAGGGATATAATGAGGTTGAAAGAAGGTTATATTTGATTACAGATATCAAGATTCAACTGGACACCAACACTGATGATGTTATGAGTAAAAGTGGCTTACTGATGATCTTTGTCAAATAAATTCTCGCATAAAATGTATCACAATGTTTTCTGTATGAACCGTACCCTACTGCCTAACAAAAAAAAGGACCAGTAAATAAAAAAATATTATAAATGTTTAAATAAATAAAAAGACGTGCTGAAAATAAATATGATTAAAATAACTGACTGCAATAAGTAATAAAGCAGTCTGTAAACTCTATTGGATAACAGCCAGATAAACAGTTGTGTGTGTGAGTGTGTGTGTGTGTGTGTGTGCGTGTACACACGGCTCTATTCAATTTCTACCTTGTATGATATTTGAAAGGTAGTGTGTGTGTGTGTGTGTGTGTGTGTGTGTGTGTGTGTGTGTTACCTGTCTTTTGAAATAGGAGCAACCAGTGGAGCATACCAGTTGACTCCAACCTCACAATGAGCATCCAGGTAGATCAGTACCTGGAACACAAACATGTCTGTTTTCCTTTGTGTTTAAAAATAATTTCATGTTGTCAGTCTGATCAATGCTACCAACTGTGTTTCAGACTTGGTATAAGTTAGGTTTCAGTAGTTGTGGTAGTAGAAGCCGAAGATCATACCATACCTGTCCTTTAGTGGCCTTCAGTGCTCCTATACTCCTGGCCTGGATCAGTCCTTCTCTCTTCTCATTCCTGAAGAGCTTTACAAGACCGTTCCACTGCTTGATGTAATCAACCAAACGCTCCTTCAGATGCTCTGCACACACACACACACACACACACACACACACACACACACACACACACACACACACACACACACACACACACACACCACACACACACACACACTACACACACACACACACACACCACACACACACACACACACACACACACACACACACACACACAACACACACACACACCACACACACAAACACACACACACACACACACACACACACACACACACACATCACACACACACACACACACACACACACACACACACACACCACACACACACACACACACACACACACACACACACACACACACACACACACACACACACACACACACACACACACACACACACACGACACACACACACACACACACACACACACACACACACACACACCACACACACTTATGAGCAGTGATGTGGAGCCCTGGGCTCAGAGGGAATCATATGTTGCTTTGCTCCATGGGCCAAGAACACACTGTTAATTCCCTTGCCAAACAATGTGACTTCACCATGGTGACAGAGGTTAGTAGTGGGATATTTAGCTTCACATAGGTGCTAAGGGAGGGCTCCTCCTTTCTGTGGTTGATGCTGAATTGTTCAACATATAAATCATATTGTGACCCCCCCACCCCCAATCATTATAGTGTAAGTGAGGAAAGCAAACCCACCTTTGTTGCTGAAGTCATCTATCATGACTATCTCAGCCAGGTATCTACTGGGAGTCCGCTTGATGACACTGTGGATGGTTCTCATCAGTGTAGACCAGCCTTCATTATGGAAGACTATCACCACACTGGAGGTCATCAGTCTGTCATCATAATGCCAGTCCTTACACCTGCAGAGGTGGGACAGAGTGCAGAGGGCAGGTCAGCTACACTTATGTTACACATTTTCTAATTCAACTTCATGTTGTACATACAGAAGTGCACTGTATACATGTGTTTTAGTGTATAAAATGTTGATAAAAACATTGTTTAAAAAAGAAATGAATAGGTTATGGGACCCTGAAAGATTTTTACTGCAAGAGACTTTCCAGATATTTCAATGTTTTTAAGTATTGCTAAGTGTGCTTTATCTATGGCAGGGGAGGGGAACCTCCGGCCTCCGGGCCATATACGGCCCGCGAGATAATTTGGTACGGCCCTCGAGGTAATTTATAAACACACGCAAAAAAGAAAAAAATTAGAGAAATCTAGACCGCAAAAAATTAAACAAGCGAGTGCCTGTTTTTCCTGGCCAAGGTCAGGGTCCTTGAACACAACACGAGCCTAACGTGTCATCACGTGGTATATGTTTCGACTGACAGGGGTGTAGTTCTGACGGAGAGCGCCATAACGCGGCTCTGGCACTTCAGAAATTGCAGTACCCATTAGTGATGGGAATTCCGGCTCTTCTTGGTGAGCCGGATCATTTGGCTTGGCTCGGCTCACCAAGAAGAGCCGGCTCTTTCGGCTCCCAAACGGCTCTTCAGTTTACCACTTATTATACCTTTTATAATTAAATTACATTACATGTCACTTGTTAGACGCTTTTATCCAAAGCGACTCACATACTCAATACTGTGGGCAATCCCCACAGGAGCAATTTGGGGTGAAGTGTCTTGCCCAGGGACACAACGACATGCTGACTGCAGTGGGGTTTGAACCTGTGACCTCCTGATCCGAATACCAACTCACAATCCACTGCACCACACGCCTCCCTTAAATCAAATGTAGCCCTGTTTTGACTAATTATATGTGTACACATATATCACTTAAATTATTCAATACATCCTTTGTACTGAAGTATTCAAAAGTAAAAATTACATGATTAATATAAATGATTTGCTGTGGCCAATTGTTTTCATTGCATTTACAGACCCGTGTAACTCTCTGATACCACCCAATGAATGCATTGACTTGCTTGTAGAACCATGCTACACAAAACAGATAGCAACACCTATAAAAACTATTTAAAAAAAGGGGCTACTGTATCGACCTATATAAAAGTATATAAATATAGTTTTTTTTTCAAAATACCAAACAGATCCTGCATTTTAGCCATGCCTCATTTCGCTCTATTTGCTCTTTCCAGTGCTGTTTTTGCAGGGGCTGATTCTGTGAGCTGCAGCTGACCACGCCCCCCTGCAGGAGAGGGGAGCGTGCTCTGAGATCAGCTGCTGGGCTGTCAGAAGAGGGGGAGAATCTCCGTCCTCCGTGTTTTATTCTTATAGAAGTAAGAAGAGAAGTAACGGGGCAGAAACGCTCCTTTTTACGCAGCGGTCCTGACATAGACATCAAACGGCGACACATATTCAGTGTGCAGTTCCTTTGGCATTAGGGCAGGGATATCTAGATACTTTCCAAGATTTGACATAATGAATTGTGCTACTTTTAAAGCAAGCAACGATGTTTTCAAATCTGTAATCAAAAAGCTCCTCAAAAACACTATTGAAGCAGTTCCTGCCGTTGCTACGTTAGTTCAAACAGTAACAACGGACTACTTTTCTTAGCGGATGCATGTCAATTTAAATCAATACATAAAACTATTTTTTAAATCAATAAAATCATTTTCTAAATCCATAAAAGCTTTTCAATTCATATTGGGAGTCATGTCGTTACTTTGTTGAGAATGTGGCCATGTGTAATAAGCGGGATAATGTGCACATTGCATAATGTGCCTTCATGCCGATCTAGATCCCTCCGCAAAAACAAAACAAAAAACGGCTCGTTCGCAGGCGAGAGCCGGCTCCCGTCGTTCACTTAAAAGAGCCGGCTCTTTGATCCGGCTCGTTCGCGACCGACACATCACTAGTACCCATAAGGAGCCGTACACATGTTGCATTTTCTGCGTGTCTGTGTCTTTAGTTGAAAGCCCAGTGGCGATCTGTTCATCTGTCACACTGATACAGTCAATAGCTTTGTTGTTATTAGCATCTGGCTAGCTCGCTATGCTAACGAATATAAGACGCTTTTTCTACAACCAGTGAGGTAAAGGCACATCTTTATATGATAATTATAGTTATAAAAAAACAAGAGAATAAAGTAAACAGGTATAAAATACTATATGACAGTAAACAAAAGTTGTTATTAATAAACAAGAATACAGTTTGAAAGGAGAGTGATTTGTAAAATATTCATAAAGAAAAATAAATCTGTTTACAGTTCTGTTTCATATGATGTTGAGAGATGTATCCATAGATCTCCTCATGTTGCTCTCAAATTGCACCAGATTGATGCTTTTAACTTCAACATTTAAAAAAAATCTTCCCGGGGGATCATGCCCCCGGACCAGCGACGTGCAGTCAGGGGAGGCAGGGGAGGCAGAGCCTCACCTGTCATACTCCAATGTAACGGAAAAACAACTAAAGAAAAACTAAATAGTAATAATAATAACATGTCTCCACTGATCTGTGTTGTAAATGTGATTTCTGTTTGATTCCAATCGCTTTTTATAGTCAAAATCAGCAAATTGGCCGAGCTCCGCTACAACTACATGGGAGCGATGAGAAGTGAGGCAGGGACGAGCTCTGCCTCTCGTAAGCCCACAGTAACTGGCTGGAGCGCGGGCACTAATGTAGCGCGGGGCACTTATTTTGTGAGCGCGCTCAAGCCAGTTACTGTGTGGTGAGGTGAGGCACAGATGAGATCTGCCTCACCTCAGAATGCGTCACCCCATAGAAACTGGCTGGAAAGCGGGCCCTAAGCGCATGCCCTGCACCATCTCACTGTAGGTCACCAATGTAACTGTTTGTAGATCCCTTTATTACATTTATCCTCGCCATCCATAGTCTCTAAATAACTTATTTCACTGTGTATGATATTTAGGCTCGCTGGTCTCATCATACAACGGCAATGAAAAAAGCACCAGGAGAGGCAGCCATAACCTCTTGCCGCACTGAAGGGGGCGCACGTGAGCCCACAGGTTCTTGTTGCTACTGTTATTCTACGCAGAGACGGTAGACCAAACAACAAGCTAGACTTTTGAAACTAGAGGAAGATAAGGAGGACTTTAAAAAAATGTAATAGAGATTGTTGTCCAGAAGGATAGCATGGACTTCATCTTCAAGTCAAGGTAAGACCATAATTGTAATGAACATGGGATCTTACTAAGAAAGAACAATCCAATATTTAGATGTTGGGTATCCTTTTGTTGAACAGTCTGTTTAAAATGAATCGAAGCATCAGACTAAAAAAGCTTTTGAAAATAACCGAACATTTCGATTAAGGTCAAAATATAATATTTGTAAATCTGACTCTGAAAGAGTCAGTGCCTCACCAGCCATGAACCTCACCGCACGTCACTGCCCCGGACCCCCCTAGAGAAGGTTAGGTCCCCCCCCCACTTAAATCATGTTCACATGGATAGGAAACTAAATACTTTTGCACACATCTTGTGTCCATATCTTTCTGTTTTGGTGGTCACGCCACACCTTGCACGTGCATGCATACATGAGTGATGGTGAGATATCTGGATTAAGAGGTTTGCTTTTTCTTTGCACAGCATGAAATGAATGGGCTGTGATTTTAGTTTTTTTAAGCAGAGGTCAATAATTTGTACGGCCCTCTGAGGATGTTGTAAACATTGAAATGGCCCTTGAGAGGAAAAAGGTTCCCCACCCCTGATCTATGGAGACAGCATTCAGGCAGCCTCTCACTGAGACTCACACCAGGAACTATGCAGTCGTAGTTCAATTTCCTCAAAGTTTAGGATGTGGGTTTGTCGGATTACTGTTTAGTTATTGTCATTTGAAGCTGGACGTGAATATATCTTCTGTGTTAGCAGCAGGTCTAAAACCCTTTATGGAAGCGTAATGCTGTGGGTCTGGAGAATGTTATCAGCAGTATAAGGCATGTGGCCTTGAGTTATGTGCTATTGGAGTGCCCTTGTAGATAATGCATAATGTTTGCTTTCATTTCATTGTTAAAACTTGGAATTTTTGGGCAATTTTGTATGTATTACATGACTTTGGAGATACGATTAAACAGACAGAGATACGATTAAACAGACAGTGGATGTGTGGAAGTGTAGTGGTCCATTAGTAAAAACAATCCATATTAGGATTAGATTGCAAATTGGTGAATTGTTGCCGTTATTGTAATCCAGGGCTAATTACAGTTTGAACAAACACAGTGGCAGACTGTAGTCAGTATGAACAGCTGAACTCACTCTTCATGGCGTATATCACTGATGGTTCGGTCCAGTGAGATCATGTCACTAGCTACCATGTTGAAGCCAAACTCTTTGATGGAAGTCTGGATGGCGTCTTTGTACTCTGGACCCAGGACAAAAGGCTTGGCTCCCTCTCCAGGACCGCCAGGGGACTCCCGGAGGCTCAGGTTCTTTGGGCTCAAAGTTTCCCAGGATACCTTTCTTCAGGACAGGGCTGGTGTAGGTTTGTGTGTGGGGTTTGAATGTCACATACTGCTGCTGGATCACCTGCTTCTGGTTGGGCTGCTGCTCAGCTTCCTGGACATGGTTGGCCCCTTCTGGAGACGGCAACCAGAAACCAAGAGATTACTCAATACCACAACATAAAACTGTACCTCATGTAATTGCCCTCTTTTTCAGAGGGAATGCTACAGTACATAACACATTGTGTTGTATCCACAGTGAGATTTTAGTACATGGTTTCTGCAGGCTCATCAAGACTTGTCTTCCAAGACCTGTCCTGGGGCCTCATTTATAAACGCTGCGTACGCTCAAAAAATGGCGTACGTCAGTTTCTACGCAATGTTTGCGATTTATAAAAAACAAACTTGATGGGAAAATGTGCGGTCCTCCACGCAAACTCTAACCCATGCGTACGCACTAAGCACAACACACGGGAGAGACGAGAAACTGCGACAAACCGTTGGCAGAAAGGAAGAATTGAGAGAAATATGTGGAAATAATACCATAAATAAAATGTTACCTCTCATTTATCATATATGAAGAATTCATTTTCACAAATGTATTAAAGCCAATCTTAAAATGATTAAACAAACGCCCTTGTTTGAGACTCCTCAGTGCACACAAACACATAACTTGGAGAAACAAAAAATACGGAAATGTTATTGATCACCCCTCGATTATGTTCTCGTCGTCAAGAAATGTTTTCTCACAAATGATGCGGTAAGCAGGAGGACAGGAATTACTTTAAACTGACGCCGTTTTGCATTTCTATAGGTTGTATAGATACAAGCATGGTTTTATAGACTATCACGTTTAATCATGTTTTGTGCCGTTCGCCAATAGCCTACTTGATAATCGCTCGTAAAACACAGGAGGTATGGAAACACCATAGGGTAAATTGTACAGCTAATATAACACAACACATTAGTTGTATTTCCTTTAACTGGTGGATTATGGTTATAATACACTGAACAAAAATATAAATGCCAACACTTTTTGTTTTGCTCCATTTTTCATGAGATGAACTCAAAGATCTAAAACATTTTCTATATACACAAAATAACCATTTCTCTCAAATATTGTTCACAAATCTGAAAAAATCTGTGATAGTGAGCACTTCCTCCTTTGCCGAGATAATCCATCACCACCTCACAGGTGTGGCATATCAAGATGCTGATTAGACAGCATGATTATTGCAACAGGTGTGCCTTAGGCTGGCCACAATAAAAGGCCACTCTAAATGTTCAGTTTTATCACACAGCACAATGCCACAGATGTCGCAAGTTTGAGGGAGCGTGCAATTGGCATGCTGACAGCAGGAATGTCCACCAGAGCTGTTGCCCCGTGAATTGAATGTTCATTTCTCTACCATAAGCCGTCTCCAAAGGCGTTTCAGAGAATTTGGCAGTACATCCAACCGGCTCACAACCGCAGACCACGTGTAACCGCACCAGCCCAGGACCTCCACATCCAGCATGTTCACCTCCAAGATCGTCTGAGACCAGCCACCACTCGGACAGCTGCTGCAACAATCGGTTGCATAACCAAAGAATTCTGCACAAACTGTCAGAAACCGTCTCAGGGAAGCTCATCTGCATGCTCGTCGTCCTCATCGGGGTCCTCGACCTGACTCCGATTCGTCGTCGTAAACCGACTTGAGTGGGCAAATGCTCACAATTCGATGGCGTCTGGCACGTTGGAGAGGTGTTTCTCTTCACGGATGAATCCCGGTTTTCACTGTTCAGGGCAAGATGGCAGACAGCGTGTGTGGCGTTGTGTGGGTGAGCGGTTTTCCTGATGTCAATGTTGTGAATCGAGTGACCCATGGTGGTGGTGGGGTTATGGTATGGGCAGGGCGTATGGATGCATACCGGTATCCGGTATTACCGAAATACCGGTTACTGGTGGCTACGGTATACCGTACAGAATTTTTTTTAAATTAATTTTAAAAGTGGAGTCCGTAGCCCGTGATGGCAGGTGTTATTACATTAGATTGCATAAATCGTTTTTCTTCATATTTTATGTGTTTTTCATTGTTTGTTCAATGGTAAAAGGTAAAAGTCCCACAAATGAACCGTGATAGGATTTGTTTTCTCTCACCAGTGAAGGTAAATGTTGATTTTAAAGATGAGATTTGTTTGTTTGTTGCAATGCCGAGATAATAATAATAATTCCTTACATTTATTATAGCATTTTCCAGATGCTCAAAAGCGCTTTACAAATACACATTACACATATTTTTTATACATGCAATGGTCACTGTGGACAATACCCACAGGAGGCAAGTTCAGGTGAAGTGTCTTGCCCAAGGACACAACGGCTTTACAGACGATCTCATGACCTTTATTCAATTATGTATTTGTTCTCTAGTCGAATCTCAGGTTTAACATTAATTATAACGGTGCTATAACGGTCCTGTTTGCATTGACAAGATGTGCTATTCACAGCGCACACCTGATGGCGGGTGTTATAAAAGATATTCCATAATCGGTTTTTCTTCATATTTTTTGTGTATTTTTCATTGTTTGTTCAGTACTAAAAGGTCCAAGAGTCCCACAATTGAATTTAATATTCATTTGACATGTTAACTATATCGTAAAGCGCTGGATCGGCGTATACGACAGCGTGTTCCAGTTCCTGCCAATATCCAGCAAACTTGGCACAGCCATTGAAGAGGAGTGGACCAACATTCCACAGGCCACAATCACAACCTGATCAACTCTATGCGAAGGAGATGTGTTGCACTGCGTGAGGCAAATGGTGGTCACACCAGATACTGACTGGTTTTCGGACCCCCCCAATAAAGCAAAACTGCACGTTTCAGAGTGGCCTTTTATTGTGGCCAGCCTAAGGCACACCTGTGCAATAATCATGCTGTCTAATCAGCATCTTGATATGCCACACCTGTGAGGTGGGATGGATTATCTCGGGCAAAGGAGAAGTGCTCACTATCACAGATTTTTTCAGATTTGTGAACAATATTTGAGAGAAATGGTTATTTTGTGTTTATAGAAAATGTTTTAGATCTTTGAGTTCATCTCGTGAAAAAATGGGAGCAAAAACAAAAGTGTTTGCGTTTATATTTTTGTTCAGTGTAGTTGCTGATTCGACAGCTGGAACACAAAACCACCAAATACAAACAAATAATTCAGATCCAGTCGTCATGACTCCACTCCGGAGGGATTCCCCGATCATTTCTTACAGTTTCTCATCAAGGGGGGGGGGGGGAGGTGTGTGTCCTGTCCCCGGTGCAAACACACTGCCTGAGGAAAGGTTATGTTGTATTTTGTCATTAACTTTTTTCGGACCACTTATTTATTTATTTTGGTGATGATCCGACCTCCATGCTGCTACTCTGGTTCAAACTGCATCCACCAAACAATATGATTTATCTCCACCTCCCCAAAATAACCAAAATCTGACACGGTGTGAGATGTCTTTTTTAGCTGTTCTGTCGTCATTTCCTGCCGATCTTCTTCATGCAGTCAGTCAAAATGAATGAATGAATGGGCGTTTCTTTGACTATTTCTAGGCAAATATGGGCGTTACGTGAAGCCCGCAAAAGCTGCGCCGCATTTCGAGTTGATTGTGATTTATAAAGGGAAACCGGCGTAGGACGTGCCGTACGCAAGTCCTGCGCCGGTACGCAGTCTTTTATGAATCGGAAAAATGTCTGTGCGTATTTATTTGCTTTGTCCTACGGAAGCAACCTTCCCACGCCAATCCTACGCAAGGCTTTATAAATGAGGCCCCAGGGTGATTTGGTACCAACATTACAGATATTTCCTTGAACCAAATCCCTTTGTTGACTTGGTTTGCTTTATTATCAGCTACTAGGGCTTTTGGCTGGTAAATACATGTCTGCGTTGTTTTATCAGTTAAAAACAGCAAATGTTTTTAAAAGTTGAACATTTGTATATCTATCTAGTAGCACCAATCTCCTCCTACCAAAGGATTAAACGTTTTTAATTTCAAAACATCAACATGGGCATGGGAAATATTTGGGGATTTGTATTTTTCTTTCTGAAATAAAAAATGAACTATGGCAGATTAAACCCCAATTAAATGTAATTACAAATATTGCATTACTTTGACACGTTCCATTGGGTTACATTAATTTGATGAAATGAAGTTAAAAATCAGATTCTTATTCTCTTGAATGTAGGAGCTGGGTTTGTTTATTTGTAATGGAACTGGTTCTCACCCTTTTTGAGTCTGATGGAGTTTAGGTCGACCTCCATCCCTTCAACATGAGGCCAGGGCACCACAGCCTTAAACTGATCCGCTAGGTCTCCTTGGGCACACACTGTCATCCTGTATGGGAGGGAAACAACAGAGAATAATAGTGTTGAACATGCAGCCATAAAGAAATGAAGTTCAAAAAATGTAGAGACAACATGATTAATTATGGGCTATGACCAACATAATGGGAGCATGATGCAACACATTTGGCTTAGCACATAACAGCTCGTGTATCATTTGGGAAGAATATTTAGAGCCTGTCACAAGTAATCACTAACAAGGGGGGTGAATGCAGGCTTACATATTTCTCTGTGGGTTTTATTCACTATTTGGTTTAAGCTTTTAAAGCTTCCACATTACTGTATGTTAAAGACATTTTTTTCGACAACCTTAAACAGCTAAATGTTTAGTTAAAGGAAACACTGGGATACGGTTGACACTAGTAGCACTATTGAGCAAGAAGAGGCAGCTTGTTTGTTCACCCTTTCACCCATTCATGCGTCTCCAGAAGAGTAGATTGATTGGGTAGAGACATCGAAATACTGCCACCTTGCAAAGAGTTTTATATAAAAGTAACAATTCTTCCTGACCATGGGGTTCATTATCACAACTTATGAGATCATTGCATACTGCATGGCCTAATGTATTACCAGGGTTTCCCACACAGACTATACTTGGGCGGGCCGCCCAGGTATATTAACGGCCGCCCAAGTATATTTCGCGACCCTTTTTTTTTTTTTTGTATTTTTTTTTTTGTATTCGTCCGTGACCACGACGCCATCTGCGATCGATTAACTTGTGGACAATGATCCCTCGCTCCCTTGCTCTGATCTCGCCTCGTTAAGTGGCCTGCCTCACACAGGGTGACTGGCTGTCTACATGATGTGGCCTGCCAACATGGCCACTGTCATAGAGATCATAAATCAAAGCCCTTGATTGGTCTCTGTGTGTCATTCAAGCTCGGGATAACCTCAGCTCAGGTGAGGTAAAGGACTCTCTGAGTGTTTTAGATAGTTAACTTAGTTTAAGTTCTCAGTGGTCCTCAAACGGTGTGGTCACCATTTATGGAAACACTATTTCCATTTGAGAGGGTAGTGATTGATCTAATGGAGTAGTGAGGTGGGCTGAAGATCGAAGGCTGTGAGTTCAAATCCCGCCAGGAAACACACACTAGTGTGCCCTTGAGTGCCATCTTTACGCAAAATGATTATACAAAATGAAACTTTTCTTTTTTTTTGCGCACCCCCCCCCGCCCGCTGCCACCGACCCGCCCAAGTATATTTCAGATCTGTGGGGAAACACTGATTACTCACATACCAATACTGACGGAAACCACCCACTCTTTTTTACTTTTAAACTCCAAAGGTCCCATCACTGTTAACTATATCCAGCCCAGAACATGATCTTTACTGGGCATTTTGTCAGAAAGAAAAAAAAAAAGCAACAAAAAAAAAAGCAAGAAGTTTATAAATGTTGTTTTCCAATTGTGGATTAAGTTTTGTTAGCTTTCACACAATCTATAGCCTGTATGGCATAGATTGGTGTCCATTAGGCTAATCTTGCACTCACGTCTTAATAAGGTACGTACGGTCCTTGATAACCTCATCATGCTAACATTAGTCTCACGGCATTTCGTGTTATCGTCATACATAAAAGAGCCTAATCTAATTTATCTCGTGAGACAGTTATATCACGTACAGTAGTGGCACTGGCTTGTGCCTCATTAAAAACATATTCCGAACAGCTTTTGGCAGAGGCATATGAACCATGGATGTATAATAAGAACGATATAAACCCATTACTCTAACTTTGAACAGTTCCGCCTAGCGACACATTCATGGTGACATATGCGGATATGGATCCTGGAATGAGCGTGATTCATTTAGGAAAGTAGTGTTAATATGACCATGTGATTAGAGTAGTTGGAATTAAACTAGGGAGGATAGAGCTGTGATGTTGTATTAACATTTACTACATACATATTGAGACGGATTTGGTTATTAGCTAGCAAGAACATATCTCCATGGCAACCAGTGTAAATTAGTAGCTAGCCTAACATCCGAATGAAAGCGTGTTCTACATGTTACAAACACACAATCTGCTATGCCCTCTGTCACTGTCAGTCGTCATCCTTTACAAGACTCTGCATGGTCACTTTTCATTGAAGCTTTGGGTTGGAGCAATGCTAGCACTGAGTGTACACTTAAGGTTAACTGGCTTGCTGTTGTCAACTCACCCGTTTTCCAAAAGGGTTTTCATCGTTGCTTTTCGGCGACATGGAAGACCAGAGCACCACCAAACCAAGGAAGGTCCCAACAACAAGCAGACTCCGTAGAATAAAGCCTACTTTCAGCCTCATGTTGGAGAAACAGCTAAACTAGATTAGATGATGCTGCTGCTAGCAGGGGCTAACCGGCTGGCAGCTATCGACTAGCTTTAGTTCTCTGCTTAGGTTGTAAATTTGAACACGGCTGGCACTACCCTCGACAACATGCCGTGACTTTTCAGCTAAATAATATGTTGCATTCCTCCAGGCGGACTCCTTCCTCTTCTGGTGTAATCCCTGTCTCCTTTCCCTGACACTTCTCTGCTGCTGACAACGGCTCCAGCGATCAGCCCACCGCAGGCTCACTTCTGCCCACCCGCCTGTGGCAGCATATAAATAACGTTAGCAAAATTGTTTCCTGATATATCAATTATTCTCTAATATGTTCAGTATATTTTCTTAACTCCGAATGTAAGATATTCATATGTTGTCCCCCGGCGTTTGTCTCGCCATACACCTCTCAGATATTAAAGCTGACTGGGTGTGGAAAGACAAACAAGAGGTCTTTCAGGTACAACTACAGGTCCGGATCACCAACTGCGGGCTGAGGCTCATTGTTGCAACCGCAACGCACGTCATGCTGTTGTAGTGTTTAAACATTTAGAGATGTAATGATTACCATGGGGGGAAGATAGGGGCACGCAGGATATGGCAATTTGACATATAATGGAATGATGCAAATGAGGGCAATATCACCATAGGCTACGGTGCATTTGAGACTTCCCCATTTCCAAAAAAAAAATTCTGAGATTTTGGCATACACTTCATATGTAGGCTATTAAGTAGGCCTATACGTTATGCTGTTTAGAAATGGATGTTGGTCAAGCCTCCCACACTTTTTATAAATGATTGCAAGTAGTAGCCTACATGCAAACAGCAAAATGTATCCAACCTGTCATGGACAAACTTCAGAGAGTAAATACATTGTAATTATGTAAAGGAGGGGGAGGGGTTCTTTGAAATCAGGTAGAGAGCAAAATTGGGTAATCAGGAGCCAACTACTAAGTTTTAAAACACAATAATGTATTCAGTAGAACATAAAAACGTTACTAAGAAAACTCAAATCAGAGCTGTCTAAAAGATAATCTCAGTAAAATATAGTCTAAAACTACTTTAAAATACAATTAAATTAAATGCAGTTAAAACAATACAAATAATTCAAATGTTAAAAGTATTTTCTCAAAACCAGAGTCTTTCCAGGGCTGCAAAGGTAGTGATGGCAGTTTGACACTGAAGCTTCGAACGGAGCTTCAACCCTTGGACTTCCTATTTCCATAGAAAGCAGTGCTTCGAAGCTTGCTTCAAATCACGTGACATGTGACGTCCGAAGCAGCAAACTGCTTTCAAATCAAGTGACATGTGACGTCCGAACCAGCAATTGCTTCATTTCCTGATTGAATCAACTCATTGGTTCGCCGTCCAATCAGGTGATTAAATGCACTGCCTCGTCTCGATTCTGACTGGTTGAAACTGTTTGAATTTGAGCGTCACTTAGTAAGTGACACTTTATAACCGCTCAAAAAAAATGCACAATTTGGCAATCTGTGGGATTGTCGTCGTAGTTTGCCTTGTTGCTGTTGATTTGTTAGTATTGCGTTAGGAACATTATGGAGCCAGCCAGGAAGAGAGGTCGTTTTTAGATGTGGGATCACTTCAATCTGATTGCTCATGGTAAGGCAAGGCAAGGCAAGTTGATTTATATAGCACTTTTCAACACAAGGCAATTCAAAGTGCTTTACAAAAAATGAAAGACATTAAGAAAAAGGCATTTAAAATCAGTCCTTAAAAAGAAAAGCTAATAAAATAAACATTAAAAGAAAAAATACATGGATAAAAGTTTCAGTGCAGTCTAAGATATGAATAGTTCAATTAAAAGCAGCGACAAAAAGAAAAGTCTTCAGCCTGGATTTAAAAGTAGTCAGAGTTGCAGCGGACCTGCAGGTTTCTGGGAGTTTGTTCCAGATATTTGGAGCATAATAACTGAACGCAGCTTCTCCATGTTTAGTTCTGACTCTGGGGACAGAAAGCTGACCAGTCCCTGAAGACCTGAGAGATCTGGATGGTTCATCATTTAGCAGGAGGTCAGAAATGTATTTTGGGCCTAAACCATTCAGTGCTTTATAAACCAGCAGCAGTATTTTGAAATCTATTCTTTGACACACAGGAAGCCAGTGTAAAGACTTCAGAACTGGAGTGATGTGATCCACTTTCTTAGTGTTAGTGAGGACTCGAGCAGCGGCGTTCTGAATCAGCTGCAGCTTCCTAATAGATTTTTAGTGAGACCTGTGAAGACACCATTGCAGTAGTCGAGTCTACTGAAGATAAAAGCATGGACAAGTTTTTCCAAATCCTGCTGTGACATTAGTCTTTTAATCCTAGATATATTCTTTAGGTGATAGTAGGCTGATTTAGTAACTGTTTTAATGTGACTGTTGAAACTCAGGTCAGAGTCCATGACTACACCTAGATTTCTGGCTTTATCTGTTGTTTTGAACATTGCACACTGAAGCTCAGCGCTAACTTTGATACGTTCTGACTTGGCTCCAAAAACCATTACCTCAGTTTTATCTTTGTTTAATTGGAGAAAGTTCTGACACATCCAGTCATTGATTTGTTCAATGCACTTACTCAGTGTTTGAATTGGAGCATAGTCTCCTGGTGAAATTGTTACGTAAATGTGTGTGTCATCTGCATAGCTATGGTAACTTATTTTGTTGTTTTTCATTATCTGAGCCAGTGGTAGCATGTAGATGTTAAAGAGAAGAGGCCCCAAGATGGAGCCTTGAGGAACCCCACATGTCATATTTGTCAACTCAGATGTGTATTTACCTATAGAAACAAAGTTGTTTCTGTCCTTTAAGTAGGATTCAAACCAATTCAGAACTGTTTCCGAAAGTCCCACCCAGTTCTCCAGTCGGTCTAGTAATATGTTGTGGTCAACAGTGTCAAACGCAGCACTGAGATCTAATAATACTAACACTGAAGTTCTGCCACTATCTGTGTTTAAGTGGATGTCATTAAAGACCTTAACAAGAGCAATCTCAGTGCTGTGGTTTGGACGAAAGCCTGACTGGAACACATCGAAACAGTTATTTAAATGCAAGAAATTACTCAACTGTTGAAAAACAACTTTTTCAATGATTTTACCTAGAAATGGGAGGTTTGATATGGGCCTGTAATTGTTCATTACTGAAGCATCTAGATTATTCTTTTTTAAGAGCGGTTTAATGACTGCAGTTTTCAGGGCCTGTGGAAAAATACCTGAGTGAAGAGATTTGTTTACTATATGAAGTAGATCTGAGGCCATGCAAGGCAACACATCTTTGAGAAATCCTGTTGGAATAATATCAAGGCAGCAGGAGGAGGATTTCAGAAGTTGAATAATGTCCTCTAGGTTTTTATCATTAATCTGATGGAATTGTGTCATGATGTTTGAATTGATGTTAAGTGGACACAGAGACAACACATTTGCTGTTCCTGATGCAGAGGCACTGACTGCTTGTCTGATTTTCTGAATTTTGTCAGTGAAGAAGGCAAAATCATTGCACGCCCTGGTGGATAGAAATTCAGAGGCTACTGACACTGGGGGGGTTAGTTAGTCTGTCGACGGTAGCAAACAAGGCACGTGCGTTGTTTTTGTTTTTGGTAATGATGTCAGAGAAGAACGATTGTCGTGCGTTTTTCAATTCCAAATTATAAAGGCCAAGTCTCTCTTTATAGATTTCAAAGTGAACCTGGAGATTTGTTTTTCGCCACCTACGTTCAGCTTTTCGACATTCTCTTTTTTCTGTTTTCACGCTCATGGCCTTTCTCCATGGAGATATTTTCTTGCCAGACACTTCCTTTACCTTAGTTGGAGCAATGGCATCTATAACATTTTAAATTTTTGAATTAAAATGATCTACTAGCTAATTTACTGAGATGTTAGCAGGGGCAAGTGTGGACAAAAAATTCTGAGTAAACATTTCCCTAGTATTTTCAGTTAAATATCGCTTTGTGGTTACCTCTTTTTGAATATTTTTGTGAACAGAAATAGAGCTCTCAAAGAAAACACAGGAATGGTCAGAGAGTGCAACATCAGTCACCACAACCTTAGAGATATTCAGACCCTTTGAGATAATTAAGTCCAGAGTGTGCCCCTTATTGTGCGTGGGCTCCGTCACATGCTGAGTCAGTCCATAGCTATCAAGAACACAAAACAGTTCTTTAGCCCCTCTGTCCTGGGGGTTGTCAACATGGATGTTAAAATCACCAACAATGACTAGACGGTCAAAGTCAATACACACTATAGACAGCAGTCATCAAAAAAGCTTGCACAGTATTTGGGTGGTCTATAGATATTTAGGAATAGAGCTCGAGAGGAGCATTTCAGCTGAAAGGCCACATATTCAAAAGAATCAAAGTTTCCATACGATGTCTTCCTGCATTGAAGAGAATCATTGAACAGAATAGCAACTCCACCCCCTTTCTTATGCATTCTTTCCTGACTCATAAAACTAAAGTTGGGAGGGGTTGATTCGATAAGAACAGCTGCACCGTTATTTTGTTCAATCCAAGTTTCTGTTAAAAAACATAAAATCGAGATTGTGCTCAGTGATAAAATCATTGATTAAAAATGTTTTCCTGCCAAAGACCTGACATTTAATAAAGCTAGTTTAAGTTTGTTAAACACACTATCAGTCATGTTTTTTGTAACAAGCTGTGGCTGACATGGAATCACTGCTAAATTAGATAAACTCACACAAACGTTTGAGCGCTTCCTGTATCTAAGATGATTCACCGCTCTTAATCTATTACCTATCAACACAGATATCGGCAAAGCTATAGGCAGGCAGGGCCCCGACATCTCCTGGAAAGAGTTGAGAGTGCCATACGCCCTTGAGCCTGGACCCAGCAAATATCAGTTTGCAGCATTTAGTACACACACATCCTTATCAGGCTTCGGAGACTGCAGATGCCCTCTCGAAGGGAGGGGAGGCGGCCGGCGCAGGCACGGTGATGGAGACGTGGGAGATGGTGCGGGGGTAGAGGACATGCTGCCTGGGGAGGAGGTGGTTGACGTAGGCACGGTGATGAAGACGGGGGAGATGGTGCAGGTCTCCGCGGTGATTTTGGTGGGCGTCGTTGAGGAGCGGGGGTAAAGGACATGGTGCCAGCCCTGCGTATCGCCTTAGTTTGGTCTTTGAACTCCAGGAAGGAATCGGTGCCAACCCTCTGTATCTCCTTCATGTGTTCAACGATCCCAAGGAGGGTGGGCGAGGGTGAAAGGGTGAACGGAGTATCCTCAAAGGCATTGACAGGGGGGGGGTTGACGGGCAGTGGAGACTCCGCCATGTGTCTCCCATAATCAGAACATTCCTCAGGCGGGTGCAGTGATAATTCTTCAGGGTTTTCTGCGCGATGTGTTGTGTCTTTCTCCTGTTTTGATTCCTCTTGCCGCTTGTCCTTGGCAGAGGGAACAGATTGATAACGCAGGCAGTTGAATATGTTAGAGATAAACAATTTCACTCCTGACTTGTTCAGGCAAACTCCATTTGCCTTGAAAAGATGTCTGCGGTCCC